TTAGGGACTTACTGATTGATAACCCGATGATGCGTGTTGTCTTGTTGGCATGAACTATTGGCTTGCATGTTTGTTTGTGACATGATGATGTTGACTAAAAAAAAACGGTTTCTATTGGAACCCCATCGGATTACGGATAAGCCGGACAGACTTTAACACAATATTTTTGGGCGGTGGATCTGGAAAATTTGACCTACAATTATTAAATCTCATGCACACTTTACAAACTTACTTTTACGATATGTTTACAGGTGAAAGAAATATAAAAAAAAGATTCATATAACCCTTTTCATTGATATCTACTAATAAAGATTTTTTTCTCTTCTTCATCTTCTTCCCCAAAAAATTAATAGCAAGATTTTAATAAAAACTCCCTCCGAAATATCCATACCAACAATGGGATGTATCCAAAAAACTTTCTGATTAAACTTATGGACTAAATATAATAAAAAAACTGAAGGTTTTTGTAATGTTTTATTAACATAAATTAATGAAGAAAAAAAGAAATATGCAAAACGGTGTATAATTTTTTTTCTTTTTTTATTTTTACCGTGAATGTGCATATAATCTTGAATTTTGACTAGAGATTGTTTATCTTTTGTCTCTTAAATATCTCGTGATATGATTATATGTTAATTTAACAATGTGCTCTTATTTTTAAAAGTAAAAGATAATAATTCCATTACATTAAAATAAAAAAAGTTATATTTAAGTGATATGAGTTTATTGAAAATATTAAGAGTATCTTTCTACGAAAATCTTAGAATTAATCGGGCACAAGAAGAACATTTCATATCGAGAGTATGAATCAAGTGATCATGCAGTCCACTCAATGTCCAGTTAGATTTTACTGAGTTAAGTGTATATGAAGAATTAATTCTTTATAATTCTAGAATAGATTAATATCAATAAGGTAGCAACTTATATTAATTATATAACTTCTATTGAATAAGTAACATAAACTTAGTGATAACTTATACAATTTAAGCACCCTATAAATTAATCCCACAAGTAATATCTAGAATTTTGTGATTACTCAAACACAGTAAAAGATAATAACCCACTTCTTTTTACTTTAAAAATTTTACTTAATTCTAGTTTTTATCATATGGGCTATTTTAAGTGCATATCTTTCCTCTTTTTGGCTACATTGTAATTTTATTTTCTTCTATCAATTTTAGTTTCTGTTAGAATATTAATTAATATTTTAATAAAAAATTATAAATAGATAATTATGAATGTAATAATTCCGGAAATTCAAAAGAAAATATATAATAATTTAAGTGCGGAAGCGAAATAAAATATTAAGATTCACATTCCTTACACAATAACTTAAAAGTACTGAACAACATTACGTAATTAATTCTTTGAAAGAAACACGAGAAATAAGGAAACAAATGAAAAATAAAAAATATCTAGCATCTACTCGCAATCTTCTTGGGGATTGGGTTCTGGAACCTAGTCATCTTGATCTAAAATGGTTAAATAAAGGATGAATTACACTAACCCAATAAGGATATCACACTATATCACAAGCACAGAAGTAAAAGTTGGTATAAAATCGAAAACTACTAATAGAGCATTAAATTTAGTAAATTCATTTATCAATCATAAAATTATTTCTCGTTCACTTATCATAGTATAATTTATGAAAACAACTTATAAAAATAATAATATCATACAGATCATAATTTCATGAATAATCAACAACATAAAACATATTATAAATCCATATCCATTTACAATAAACTAAACCATAACTGTTTCTCTTTTCACTAGCCTACTAGTATCCATACGGATTCATAGGGATGTCCCCACTACATGTGAACCCCTTTTCTTTAACAATCTCAATTACAGGGACGTCTCCATACCCTGTCCGGTATAAGTATCAAATCATTAAACGTTAATACTCCGTTTGGTATGAGGGTGAAGCAGGTCGTCCCTATACCCCGTTTGATATGGGTACCAAATTATGAAGTCTCCATACCGCGTTCGGTATGAGACAACATTCATGATAGGGTTCTTTATGTACCCGGTCTGTCCACCATCTCTCAGGATATCCAATAAGGCTGTCGTTTCATCTATTCGTTTAATCACACAATTTCTTTACCATTTAATATTTTTTTTTCTCGATTCAGTAGTAAACACATCAATTGAACCATACATGCGTTCAAAGCCATAAAATAAATCAGATACCATCATGCATATAACTGTAAAATAAATCAACAAACAACAGTAGATAATTTTCGGTTCTACCTTCATTAGCAATCCTTAATTAATTATGCATGTTTACTAAAATCGCACAAAATACCACATTATTATTTATTTAAACTTCAGTTCTATGATAGAGAATAGGGTGAGAGATCCTTACTCGATTTAACATCCGAAAAGCCAAACTGTTTACTGCGCCTACAGGCGGTCCATGGATTCCCCGAATTTTTCTCCAGGAACTGAAACGCGTTAATAATACCTACAAATGTTCAAAATAAATCCAAAATCAGTCCCAGGACCAACTCAGCCAATTTTAGAAATCCGGCACGGCAGCTCTACCGTCCTCCAACGACGGTGCTGCCGCTCGCGGCGGCGGTCTACCTCAGGTTGGTTGTTTTCAGCTGAATTCAGCCGATTTTGTATAAGTCCCTATGAGAAACACACTTAGAGGCCTTGGTTAGCCAAAAAAATACAAAAAACTGAAACTCACCGGCGGCCTGGTGCTCCGGTGTGGCGGCTCCTCCAGCTCACATTGCGGTTGAGTGTTTTGCTCCGGTCAACCTATAGAGAAAAGAACGGTGATCACAATGATGGAAAAATTATCCCGAACAAGAATCGAAAAAAGCCTCATCCGAGGCATTTTGTGAAATTCTCCGCAGCGGTTTCGCTGGTATTTTTCAGCCAATTGGCCGATCTTTTCACCCGATATGGCCATGGGTGAGCTTAAAATTGAATTTCGT